AAGCAGCTATAAAATAACTTCATAGTGCATTGTACTACTTCACTCACAAATTTTTACCTTGCTTCGAATAAAAATAGTAGAAACACAAACAAAATACAATCTGATGGCGGAAAAAAATGTGTTAAATAATAGGCAAGTGAGAGAAATGCAACTGTGAAATATTTGGATCAACGGAAATTAGGAAGGTAGAAATATTCTTCTATCCTCATGATGATCTTATGCCCACTCTCCCTTGTTCCCGTATCAGAAAAATGCAGGTTCCTGGTGCTGCTGACTTGGCATCAAAATCTCAAGGCTTATCAGACAGTACAACCGTAATACCTAAAGAAGAAATTGTAGATTCATATCAAATGGATAAGATACGCTGTCTTTGTGGAAGCGGGCTTCCAACTGATACAATGATCAAGGTAGATATACATTTTTCCTGTTGAATGGAAGTTTTTTTGTACCATTTAAAATTGTTTTACATTCTTGTTTTTTCATGTGACCTTTAAAATTTTTTGATCCAATTTTTTTTTGACCTTGGTTGCCCTATGTTCTTACTGATGTACACAATGGTGCAGTGTGAAGATCCTAGGTGTAATGTATGGCAGCATATAGCATGTGTGGTGATTCCCGAGAAACCCTTGGAAGGTGTTCTGCCGACTCCTCCAGAGATTTTTTACTGTGAAATTTGTCGGCTGAGTCGGGCTGATCCGTAAGTGAATATGTTTGTTGTCGCTCAGTTGGTTTCATGTACCATCAGACCCATTGCTTGCTGTTTTTTTTTTATTTTCATATGTTTTAGAAGCTATCATATCTTTTTGTTAATTTGGCAAGCTTCTTTATCTTTTTGGTCACTAAAGACAGATAAACACTGTGCTTTTACTGTTTTCGCGTCGACTAAGCTTTTTTGTCTTGCTAGTTGCTGTACGATTTGCTTTTCTTGTAATTCATAAAAAAAATGTTGTTTTAATCTATAAGGTTAAAGTTACCCCAAGCGTAAACCATAAAAATAATTAGACCATAGAGTGAAGTATTTTGCTCAAGCATATTCACATAGGTAAAGCAGTTAATGGGTCTTGGTAGTACTAGGTAACTAAGGGTGTCATAGTAACTGGTTTTAAGATTTTTCTTTTTTCCCCCATGCTAACAGTTTGCTATTGATTGTTTATTAATATGTAGAATCTAATGAAAAGAAGCCCAAGCATACTTTAAAAAAAAATTCATGGGCATGGTTATAAGTAGGTTAGGAGGTTTTTGGTTTTAGATTCACAAATGCCGCGTCATTCTTAATTCATCTAACTAGATCATTTTCTGTGAACTTTGCCTTTTTTCTTCCTGTTGTGGCTGGCATTTAGATAGTTACTCATTGAACAAATATTCTAGTGGTCAAGAGCTTGCATATGTTTGATGCACGTTATAATATCAGATATGACATGGTAAAAGATGAATGTTTTTCATACTGTTGTATGCTACCTATGTGAAACAAATTAGAAACAAGATCTGTGCCTCTGCATTTTGAGGCCCATGATTACTTTGGTTTCTTTCATTCTTGGATTAAGATCAGCAAATCCTTTAGATGCCTGATGATTGATTATTGTTTTGTGCTAATGTAGCTTCTGGGTTACAATTGCGCATCCTCTTTATCCAGTGAAGTTGAATATCACAAATGTTCCCGCTGATGGGTAAGTAGATTTGATATCCTTCTGTTTATCATCACTTCTAAAATTTAGTAAGATGTATACTATGATCATATGTTCAAGCTTCCTTCTTATTTACTGAGAATGAACATTTATTAGATTATTGAATCTTCGAGTGTCTTGTCACATTGATTTAATTTTTGTTGCTGGAGCATGTATCTAATTTTGTAATCAGAATGTGGGATGTCCAACTTAGCGTTTTCCTTTTTCATATTATTTATATGTAGTACCTTACTCTTATAGAATAAAGTGGAACAGCTAATACATATTATACTTTAAATATGTTTGCTTCTAGTGTGAAGTTCCAAAAATTGTTTTTTTTTTGTGCGGCCTTTTCCTTTTGAAGGTATTTTACGCAACTACCGTTTTAGCCCTTTCTTTCCTATCTTGACTGTTTTGTATTCTATCTTCGATGATTGCATTTCTACTTTCTTAGTTTTCCATTTATTTCATTAATCTAGTAAATGATACTTATTTGTGACTTTTCAGCTCTAATCCTGGTCTGAGCATTGAGAAAACTTTTCAACTCACAAGGGCTGACAAGGACTTATTGTCTAAACAAGAGTATGATGTTCAGGTTGGTTGGGATGCCTAGTATATGACTCTTCATTTGAAATATGCTTGGTTTTGGCTAGTGATTGATGGATGTGCTATGATAATTAGGCCTGGTGCATGCTTCTTAATGACAAGGTGACGTTTAGGATGCATTGGCCACAATATGCAGATCTACAGGTCAATGGTATGTTATTCTCTTAGATAGCTCAAGTTTGAACTCTGAATAAAAATAGAAAACTTGATTATTTCTCCTGTTGAACCAAATTTCCTCTTGTAAGTGTCGTTACTTGGGCCTTTACTGGAGATGGACATTTTATGAAGTAGTGCCAAATCGGGTCTATCTATTTATCCACTTGTAAAATCAGAATATGCAACACTGTGTTTTGATTTCTTACTAGTGAATATTTTTGTATGGTAGATTTCTCGGATATACTTCTTTTTCAAAGTTTTATCAACCTTATATTAACCATTTTTCTTATTTCTCTATGAAGTGCTCTGCCATTGTTTCCTTTACAAATCAGTTCTTCCTTTTTGACTCAACAGGTGTCCCAGTGCGGGCGATAAACAGACCCGGAGCTCAACTTCTCGGAGCAAATGGTCGAGATGATGGACCTGTTGTGAGATTTCTCCTTCGGAATTAGCATCTTATTCATTTCTTTTTTTTTCAAACAAAGGAACTATTCTTTGTGTAACTATTGCATTTGCTTTTGTGGCATTTATAGTAAATTCACTTCACCATCTTGCTTTTCTCATGCACCTGCTGGCATGTGGCATATTACCACTTGCGAGGCAAATCTTTGTTGCTTTTCTATTGCTAATTATGATGGAACATTCAACTTAAGCTGTGATTAGCAATCCTTTTGATTTTATTGGATATTATATGTTGGTTTCCCCCCCTTAGTATATGTTTGTCTTGTTGTTTTGTCAGATTACACAATGCACCAGAGACGGAATTAATAAGATTTCCTTAACAGGATGTGATGCTCGCATTTTCTGCATGGGAGTCAGAATTGTGAAGCGGCGTACTCTGAGTCAGGTTAACTTGTCTTCGTCAAATCTTTAATTTGGTATAATTTTGTGTATGTATTCAAGGTGGGTACTTTAATTTGTTCAAAGTTGTGGATTAGACATGCAAATTTTCTTGAAGCATGCCGCGTAAGATGATATATGCCTGACATAATTAAGACTTTTTGGTATTCTCAAGTCTTCTTTGTATTTCTACTCAACTGTGCCTCTCACATACTGTACATCATATGGTATCATTTTGAAGTGAGTTATTAGACATGCATTTATTTGTGGAAGGGAATTTATCTGGATTACTGAACTTATCTATGTTGTAAAGGGGTGTACAGCATGCTTTAGTTCTGTGTTTGCATAACTGCTTTGTTTTCATTGTAATGCATCTTAGATTTAGCGATTATCTTTCTTCTAACAAGATTTTGTCCTTAGATTTGCCCTTTATAAGCATAAAGGGTGTTAGCCTTTATTTCTGTTTAACTGTGAGAAAAGAAATTTATGTATTTTTGGCAGTTCTGCATGTATTTCACATAAGACTTAATGATAGTTACCCCATCTCTTTCGCTAGATTCTTAACATGGTCCCGAAAGAGGCTGAAGGTGAATGTTTCGAGGATGCACTGGCTCGTGTTCGTAAATGTGTTGGTGGTGGGCCTGCCACAGAAAATGCTGATAGTGACAGCGATATTGAAGTTGTTGCTGATTTTGTTCCGGTCAATCTCCGGTGTCCTGTAAGTGGTGTTGATATTAGCATACTTCAAATATTGGCAATTATAGTAGCAAAATAAGCTAGGAAAAAGAGAGATATTTTGTTGTCCTTGTTATGGTGTTATTGGCTTTATTTTTGCTACGTTTCTGAAAATATAAATCGTACACTTGCATGCTTCAGATGAGTGGTATGAGAATGAAAGTGGCTGGAAGATTTAAGCCTTGCGCACACATGGGCTGTTTCGATCTAGAAGTGTTTGTGGAAATGAACCAACGATCCAGGAAGGCAAGTAAATATGACTTATCATTTATTTTTACTTGCTGACTGATACGAGTCTTTCTTGTGTCCCTTGAATGTGTATTCATGTTGTCAGCCAAATGTACACAAAGAGGAATTACATTCTAAGGGAACAAGCTCAAAGCATTTATATTCATAATATGTTTCTCCCCACTTCTATATTTACATTTTCTATGCGATTTGTTGATGCAGTGGCAGTGTCCCATTTGTTTGAAGAACTATTCTTGGGAGAAAATCATAATAGATCCATATTTCAATAGGATCGCATCTAAGGTATTGTCTAGATTATGCCTTGTGGTATTGTTTTATCCTTCCACTTCTTGCAAGTCAAATTATGCTTTCTCAATTATATTTTACAGATGCGGAATTCTGTTGAAGATGTGGCAGAGATTGAGGTGAAGCCTGATGGCTCTTGGCGTGCAAAGCTAGAAGGCGATAATAGAGGTATTGGGGAGCTTGGGCTGTGGCACTTGCCTGATGGTACCATCTGTGCATCCACAAAAGCAGAATCTAAGCCGAAACCAGAACTTAAACCAGTTAAACAGGAACTTGGTTCTGATAGTCATGCCGTCTTAAAGATAGGAATTAAGAAAAACCAAAATGGTTGTTGGGAGTTTAACAAACCTCGTCATATTCAGGGAATCTCGCCTGCAAATAGATTTCACGACAATTTTGAAGATAATGGTCAGAATGTAATTCCTATGAGCAGCAGTGCCACTGGCAGTGGCAGAAATGGGGAAGATGTTAGTGTGAACCAGGATGGTGGAGGAAATCTCGAGTTTTCTGCAGTTAATGGTATAGAATATGACTCCATCTCCCTCAATGTTGATCCACCACATGGATTCATTGATTCGTTTACTGCTGCACCAGCTGGCGATGCTGAAGTGATTGTCCTCAGTGATTCTGATGAAGAAATAGATCCAATAATTTCTTCTGTGGCTGACTATCAGAATGGACAAGATACCGGCGGGCTTCAGTTTCCAGCTCCACAGCATGGAAATCCTGATCCTTATTACGAAAATGCCTCCCTTGGTATTGGTGGAAGTTCATGCCTCGATCTTTACAACACGAATGACGACGAGTTTGGAACTACAATGTGGCCATTACCTTCAACTGGTCAGGGAGTTCCTAGTTTTCAATTGTTTGGTTCTGATGCTGATGTATCTGACCCTTTAGCTGACATGCGACATGGTACTATTAATTGCTCATCGTCTATGAATGGTTACACATTGACTGGAGAGACTGCTATGGGTTCTGCTGCATTTGTTCCCGAGTCTAGTGGTCAACATTCTAATGTGAATGATGGTTTTGTAGATAATCCTTTGGCATTTAGTGGCAATGATCCGTCACTTCAAATATTTCTCCCTACAAGACCATCTGGTACATCAACAGCGCAGTCTGATATGGCAGACCGTCCAGATGTATCAAATGGTATTAGTGCTGAGGATTGGATTTCTCTCAGGCTTGGGGATGGTGGCAAAACGGGTCGGAAAGATTCTGCAGCTGCAAATTGTTCTAGTTCAGGACATGAATTACAATCAAAGGACGGCGGCGCCTTGGAGACATTAGCAGACCATGGTATGTGAAATATTATTTTATATTTGATACCTACCTTAGGATTTGACATTATTAGTTTTAAAATAATTCCAAATAAGAAGGATTGAAATGAATGGATTTAAAATAATTCCAATTGAGAAGGATTTAAAATCATTCCAAACTAGGAGGATTTGAAATGACTCTTAATGGGAAGAATTTGAAATCCACTACAATTGTTCAAAAAATAACTTAAAACGAGAGTCAAATATTTCAATTCCGTTCTCAAATGACTCAATCCAAACAATCAATTGATTTGTTATCATGGACATGAAATCCCTCCCTTAAATTCCACCATCCAAATGCAATTAGTTCTTTTTACATCTAAAACTGTAATGTTGCTTTGCGGGGTAAGTTGATTTAATATGGAATACAAAAGCCGAATATCTATAGAAGCCATGCAGAATCATAATGAAAATTACAGCCAGTTCTCTTATATGTATTGGGTCGTATATATATATATATATATATATATATATATATATATATATATCACCTTTTCACATTTAATTATCGTTTTTCATTTAATTGTTTTATTTGCAGCATCCCTTTTGCTCGGTATGAACGACAGCAGGACTGGTAAGAGGGAAAGAATAGATAGTCCCTTTTCTTTTCCACGCCAAAGGCGTTCTGTAAGACCAAGATTATACCTGTCAATTGACTCAGAATCCGAGTAAAACCATCGAAACTGTATCTGGAGGAAAAATCTTCTTTTTTATAAAAAATGATTGTTGGGCTACCAGATTGCACCATCAAATGAAGAAGACAATTTCCATAAGGATTATCGTCTCATTCATCCTAATTAGTTGACCTGTATAATGGGAAAGCTAGCTGCAATACGCGCAGTTAGAGGATAACGATTACCAGATAACTTATTAGTAAGCAGTAGGTGCTGCCTCCACCTGTTTTGCATTTTATTATAATCGAGGATCCTTCCAAACAGGTTTGGTTATTGCATTTTCCCCTTTGATTGGTGATTCGGACTGTACATTCAGGGTTCCGTTATTTGGGGGAATTGAAAGTAAGTACAATTTTAATTTTTCTTGGAGGTTTAGGTTTTAGGGCAGGGGTGCTCTTAATCATATTGAGAAAATTACCTGTAAATGTCACATACATAGATTCAGTAATTTTGATTTTTTGTAAATATATAAGTTGATGTTTGCAATTATATTTCCGTGTAATAGTTGCTCCCAGTGAGTGTGATGTCGGGTGGCTGGTGAATGATTTAATTCATGTCTAGGGAGTATTTTTTTTTTATCTAATTTGTATGCTTAAGCTATGTGGTTTGTATCGACTTGTATTTTTTTTGTCAAATGCCATTAGCAGATTTTCAGGTTGGTGATGGAGGTGTACAAGATTTTGTCTTTGCATCTATTTGGTGTAGAAAAGGCTTCTGGGAAATTTGGTTCTTGCTCGATTTTTCATCACACCTTACCTGTGTTTCTGAATGTTAGTCTACACTCTAAGATGAGAATTTAAATTACAATTCCGTATTGATGCCCGGATGATGGGGCCCATTTCCTTAGCCCATTTTGCCCGGCTGGTAGGCCCATTTCTTTAGCACATTTATGCTTTTTGGCCCAGCTCCATTTTTTAGCCCATTTTACATTATTCGGCTGTGCTGGCGGTCCGTTTATTTAGCCCATTTTATACTATTAGGCCGGTTGTTGGGTCTATTTATTTAGCCCATTTTACATTTTTTAGCGAAAAGTTGGGCCCACATTTCTCTAGCCCATTTTACACTATTGGGCCGGGCTGATGGACGCATTTATTTAGCCCATTTTACACTATTTTACCGGGCTGTTCGGCCCATTTCTTTAGCCCATCCCGGGCTGATATAAATAGAAATAGTGTCCGATTGGCAATTAGTTGTTACATATAACAGTCATGTAAAGCGATATATAAATGTTGATTTAAACAGTTAAAACTTCTGGTTTCATGAGTCCATTCGCTGGTTACAACTAGGATCCAACTACCATATCCGGTAGTTACAGTTCGTTTCATTACAAAGAAAGACGATCAGCATTACAATTAGGTGAAATCCTCGTTAGCTTGCATGAAAAAGGGGTCAAGGAAACAACTAAGCCAGTAAGATAAACTAACAAGTCTTTCGAGAGGTCAGCAGCCAGAAACCGGGACGAATTTTCCAGCATATTGTACCACATCAAAGCCCAGCGGTACCTGCATCCTCATCATTCGTAAGTGTCTATTTTCCTCACTCACATTCATTAACGAAATTTAGCGAGTAAATAAAAGAAAAATAAGATTAGTTAGCAAGGGCAGGCTGCATCTCGAATGATCTGCTCGAGTACACAACTTCGTGTGCAACACAGCAGCATAAATGGCTCAATGAAGTAAACGGTGCTGTCAGTCAGTTTCTTGTTCAAGAACAGGAAGAATGCCCAAGGCTGATGAACCAAGGTGCATGCCTCTGACAATACCACCATAACTGATCTTGATTTTGTAGCAGAGCATTAATATGGAATCCCATAGTGCTGTTCTTCCCTGCAAAAGGAACCCCAGATGGCATTAGTTAAAACTATTATCTCAATTTGTGTCGGTTGGAATTATTTGGAGAGAAGACAAAGGAAATTGACCAATTTCATATCATAAATTCATAGTGGGGTCCTAGACCCCACGACTCCTTTAAATCGACATACATCGATCACATGAAGACATGCACAATCGATAGTGTCTGTATATTTCTAATCGGTCAACTGTACCTCGTTAGTTAACATGTCGAAAACAAATTCAGAAGATTAGAATGGTGGACTACTATAACTTGCCTGGAAAGAGAACTGAGGCTTTTTGTCCCAGTATAGTACAAAAACTGGGGGACTTTGCTTCCCAACGGCCAAAATACAAGCTCCAGGATGTAGCACGGAGGGGAACCCCGATATTATCGCTATGTATTTCTCAGGAAACCTTTCTTTAGGAGGCAGAACACCCAAAAACAACGGGTTCTTGCTTGCCTGTGCTCCAGCATAGGTTGTCGGATCAGCATGCAACATCCATTGCGGGTATTCCAAGAAAGCACAAAACAGATAAAGAAGCATATGAGAATCACTGGGAAGCTCAATACTCCACTTCTTTTTTACTTTCTCATAGACTTCGCCGTTTCCCATATACTCGTAGTTCTTTAAACATGTTCCTTCGGCAAGCTCTACAGAGATTATTTGACAAGTCAGTGAAAAATTCCACTCACCTTAAGGGTAACAAGATTAGTTTAGTATCTCATGATTTACTTTTAAGTAATCAGGAATAAACTTACTGCGAATCCTTTGTACAGTATAATCTGCTTGCATACTACTTTGTGGAAGTAAACCTTTGCCCCACTCTCCTTTCATTAAAGCGTGGAGCCTCTGGTGTTCCATGATGGCGTCAATGCACTCTTGTAAAATAGGAACTGCTGCGGCATGCTGAGGGGATTGCTGAAAATTGCTAGTAGAAAATTTTGCTGGAAATTGAAAAAAGAAGTCATAAATATATATTCAAAACAAATTGTCTTGCAAGTTAGCAAATGTCTACAAGATATATAGCTTCCATGAACTTACGCATGCGAGCATCATCAAGAACTTGAACAAGACTTGCACGTAGCTGATGAAGAAGTCCATCTTCGTCAACTGCAAATGCCGGTTTCCATTCATTGGTCCTCTCCATCGGTGATGCATTTTCAGTTGTAGGTATACTTGTGGTATCACTTCCAACTTGACTAATGGTAATTGAGACATTAAGTTTAGCAGCTGCTTCAATAACCTGAAAGTGTGAGGGTATACTTAATATCAAGAAGGAGATGTATTGACAGTAAAAAGTTACTTCTAATGGCAAAACAAGACTCGTAAATTTCAATTAAATCCACTTGTATCACCCAAACAGATCATTTATATTGCACTGTACATTGAGTAAAATCGATAAATCATTATGTGAAAACATCCAAAAAAAAGAGTTGCCACAAAGATTCTACTTCAAGAAACAAAGGAACTACATTCTTAGGTAAACAATATGAAGGCTTCAAGACTGCATAAAAGGAGCCTCTGGAAAAGAGTTCCCCTATTATTTACTTATGAACATAGTTTTGGTTTTCCAGATTGTAAAGGACCATAATTCCTATTTAATTTCTGATGCACAATTATGTAAGATAAATTGTATTGTTATTTTTAGATCAATATACAGGTTGGGGTCAACTTCTTAAGTTCGCCACGCCATGAGAGCTTTCTATTTTTTTTTAAAAAAAGAGAAAGACCAATACTTCTATTTTGCTTTCACATCGAAACAGAAACATGAAATTTTGCAATTGAATATGATTATAAATCATCAGTCATAGTTTGTATGCCCATATCACCTTTGCAAAAATTAACAGCTCTCAAATCCAGGTTCACATAGAAATTTTCGAAGAGATATATATATATATATATATATATATATATATATATATATATATATATATAAGAAGAGAAAGATCTTTAACTCAATTACTATAATAAGCATTTTGAAAAAGACAACTCTCACCTTCAAGTGGCTGGTTTCAATCTTTCTAAGAAGAGGATTAAGTAGAAAAGCAGAAAACCACTGCCTAAGACTGTCACGCCACTGCTCAATATGCAGACAAACACCCAGCCTTTCAAACGCCTCGATCGACTCTTCAATTGACATTGGAAGAGGAAGATCTCCCTCCCCTTTCTTCGGGGGTGTTGTGAACTTTTGGGAACCAGGGGACATCCTAACTGGCCTTAAAGGTGTACTTCTCGCAGTTCCGGAAGTATTAGGACTTGCCATGCCATATCCATTTGTGCTGGGGGGCGGAGTCGTCATTCTACTCGCTGTTTCAGATATTTTCTCGTCCACATCAGCCAGAAATCTTTCAAGATCTTCCTCCGTCGAAATCTCTTTATGAAAAGCAGGGCGTTTATTGGACCAAGGGGTGCCAATCAACTGATCAGAACCCGGTGATGCGTGCATGGATGGTGACTGGACAGGTGAACGCATGGAAGTTGAGGGGACAAGATACATGGAGGGAGAAGCTGGTGATTTGGATGGTGTGGCAAAGGAATGCATTTTGCTACCGCCACTGGTGCTTGATTTCCCGCCACTCATTCTGGATAAGTGATTTGAACCTGTTATTGACTGATGAAGAGGGACAAGCGGATTGGATGGAGAAGGTGAGCTAGTTCTGGATTTAGGAGGTTTCTTTGAAGACTCTGGTGAATCCACTTCGAGTTTGGACTTTAATCCTAGAAGGCCCAATTGTCGGTTGGTAAGGCGTTTTACTTCTGTGCCATTCGAAGAAGATACAACTACCACATCGGCAGCACTTCTTGTCCTCCATTGAGAGATGGCTTTGATCAGAGCAAGTAAAGTTCCGAGCAAAAGGAAACTTGCCATGAATGGTATTACCTTGGAACATATACCTGTAGTATTGTGAAGATATCAATCGAAGTTTAGAAAAGAGTTGAGTAATTTCCTGTGAAGGGTTTAAACAGAAATTGAAAAACACCACTTACGAGCAACATCTTGAGATACAAAACCAAGTCCGATGTTAGTAGTAACTGGATTTTCCCTACATTAAAATGAGTTGGTCAATTCGTACAGTTCGTACATAAAGGCATGTAAGACCTCACAAAACAAACAAATACCCTGCAATATATATGTTTGTGTATGAGTGTGAGTATATGAAAATCATCAAGCTACATTAAACTTAACGAAAACCTAACTTGGTGAAAACTTAACGAAAACCTAACTTGGTGAAAACTTAACGAAAACCTAACTTGGCCGAGTAATTTGATTGCTATGACAGACGAATATAGATGACAGAGAAAAACTAAAATAAAAAATAAAGAAATAGGAACTAATGCAGCGGCTAAAAACGCAGAAAGAACGACGGAGAAACACCACACGGGACTGTAAAAAACAACATAAAACCACCGCAGATTACCTATACAGGGGAATGAGGAGAGAAATAACGGACGCGGAGAGAAGGGAGAGGATGAAGAGGAAAGTGGCGGCGGAGGGGCGGAGGCTGTTGGAGGTGAGAGCGGCGGAGAGTGCTGGATTCTGGTACACTGTGAACAATGAGGGCTTCGACGCACCAGCCGTCTGCTGCCTTCCTCCACCTCGATCCATCGCTAATTTCCTGTGGAGATTATTGAATCGTGCCTGATTACCTCTTAGGGTTTTACAATTTGAGTATTTGCCATCGATGAGGTTTTAGAGTTGGTGCAGGAGGAGGAAATTTTGAAATTCACCGTTGTATTATTGTGCGAAAACGGGTCGGGTAAGGTCCGGATCCAGTTCCGTTAACCAGGGTATATAATTAGACACCGTTTGGTCTTCGGCTTTGAGAGAACCGGGTTCCAATGTTACAAGATGTCCGAACCGGGTTTTGGAATGTAAAGTTGAAAAAAAGAAAAGAAAAACAAGCTATAATAGGGTGTAAACAAATCAAGTCAAAACCATTAACCAATACATTACTGTTCAAATTTATTTGATTTTTTATCAGGCTTTTAAAGTTGTGTTTGAGCTTGGTTTGATAAGCAACTGAATAAAACTTGAACAAACTGTGATCGAACGGAACACAAAACGAGTTCGACTATATTTTTATTTTATTTTGACTATTTCTTTTAATATAGTCGAACTGGGCTCCATAGCTTATCGAACGAAACTCTTGATTCGCTATACTAACAATCCAAGCTCGAACAAGCTTGTAAAAAACAATCTCAAATTGAAAAATTTGGTTTGATTTTCAGCCTTGGATGATATAGTGATTATAATAAACTTGGTAAGTTGGTATCATATTACTGTAAATTTATGGTTTATACTATACTACACCGGATAGATCTTTACTATCATATGCACACAAACACACACACCCATATTGGTGTGTGTAGATCAACGGTGCATGAAATTCAATCTATTTATATATTCTATGATTATATGATATGCACACATTTAAAAATAGTAAGCCATACATCTAAATGCAAACATTTTATATATAATACACAACATAGTTCTACATAGTACAACAACATTTATTATTCCCACATTATTATTCCGACACAGTGTCTCTTAAACAAAGAAGCAGCACCATAACATAAGCTATAAATCAGAGTCACAACACAATCTTGCAAAACTTTTATTTAGTAGCACATGTAATAATTAAACAATACATTTGGGAAACAACATCATTTTTAAAATTTTTTTGCATCAAACCTGTGGGGCCCGGAACAAAGAAAGAACTAATCGGGCTGGCCCACGGAAGATGACTTGGAAACATCCGGCACAGCTGGCGGGGCTGCTTCTTCCAAACAGCTCTTCGTGTCGTCACTATTCATCAAGCCAACGCTCATCTTCTCCACTTCCTCTTGCGTGTATATATGTATCTTCGTAACCACCTCCACGAACTCACTAAAAATTAAAAAAATAAAATAAAAATATATCGATTATATATTTAGTCTTAGTAAAATTTTACGTTATGAATTCGATTCTTAATATTTTTTTGGGACTTACTGCCACGGGTCATCACCGACGACCATCATGTCGTTGTCGCTATCAGTGTACAACACCCGCCATCCGTTGTTCGGGTCCCGCAATAGACCTTCCATGCTAAACAGCCTCTCCAGTTCGGTGAGTAAGTCATCGTAACCGTACAATCTCGACAGATCAACGGCTCTCCCCACCAAGCTACCTTGTTTGTGAACCTATATTTATTTGTTGAGAAAAATCAATCCCACTAGTCTCTCCAAAAATCAGCTCATGTGCGCGAGCGTGTGTGTGTGTATACGAGTTTATTGCATTTAGTACCCATGTGTTATATCGAAATGCCCAAAAACTCCCCATGGTATTTTATTGGCAAAAACATCCTTATAATCTTCTTTTAGCAGACAACCCCCTAAATAGTGAACTTTTTAGGGAGTAGTTTGCTACAAAAATTGAATCATAGGGGTTTTTTTGCAAATAAAAATAACATGGAGAGTTTTTTAACAATTAGAAAAAACACATGGGTGTGGAATGCAATAAACTATGCAGCTATGTTTTTACTAACCTTAGTACAGCTTCTCTTACTAGGACCGAGTAAATTAAGGGCAGCAGAATGATCTTCCGTCAACGAAAACCCGAATATTTTACATGTCGGGACTTTCTCCTTTAAATGAATCTCATCATCATTCACATTTTTCACATGCATAATCGAAGTGACAGCTGGCGAAGATGCCTTGTCCGAAACCGGTTCAGCATTAGTGGGCCCACTCAGAACAGACGTACGGTTCGATAAATGATTCGATGACCTTGTCTGACAATCGGAGAAATTGGACATCATCATAGAAGGAGTGCTTTGGTAGACGCCCTTGTGCGGAACATGCATGCTTCTAGAACCTTCGGAAGCCAGAGGATAAAAGCTGGGCAGTATATTATTATTACTATGCCTTTGATGCGTGTTGTTGTTGTTGTTGCTGCTGCTGTGATGAAGAACACCCTTGTAAACGGGTTCGGGTTTGGCCCACGGACCGAGATCCAGGCCCGTTTTCCCGGATAGGGATTTGAACGAGCAAATTTCTTGACCTTGCAAGACCTTTGGAAACCAGTTGGATTCCAGAAAGCCGGTAAAAGTTGAGGGGGTTTGGTTCCTCACAAACTCCCCGTAGTTAATCTTATCAATCCTGTTCGGTGCGGGGTTGGGATTAAATAATCCTAATCCCGTAGGCTGCATATCAAACTCCAGCTGGCGATTTGTAACTCGATGATCGCTCCTGTAGAGATGTGTTGCTAAACCTACATTTTCTTGACCTTGCAAGACCTTAGAGGATCTCACCGATTCCTCAAAGTCCAAAAGTGATGCACCCCCTAAAACAAAACGAAAAAATTAAAATTAAAAAAAGAAATTCATAGCAAGTCTTAAAAATGATATTAAAAAAATATATATTTATATTTAAAAATGGAAATTAGATATTCACCAGAGATTGGGCTGCTGTGTGGGGCCGACCTCAGTTTCTTCGTACGAGGCGACGATTGAATGCTCATAGATGCGTAGTTACCTGAGAAATCAATGTCCCACGGAGAAACTCGTTCTTGGTGGTTACTCATTATATCGTCATCCCAACGTACCTTTAGATATGTATACATGAACCAATATTATAATGTTATCTCTTTTTTGTTTTTTTTTTTAATTGAGCTACTCTCTAAAATTAATGATGCGATTGCACCAAATTTAACGACGTCCAACAAAATACTCCATTCGTTCCATAATATCTGTTGTTGTTTAAGGTTTTTACACACATTAAATATGGTTGATTTTAGGAAAGACACTAAAAAAGACTAAAATACTAACATTTATTATTTGAGGTGATAAAAGGGAGTTAATGTTTAACCTAGTTCGATTAATAAGGTTAAAATAGGAAAAAAAAAAAAAAAGACGCATTTAATGCATTATTGGAACTCTAAAGTGAAGTAATAAAACTACCATAAGGCATCTCCATTTTGAGTTCGGCCATCTATATGGATCCGAGTCCCCGATTCCAGTCACCACTCCACTGAATCTGAGAGAGAATAAAAATAAAAAATTATATATAAGAGTCGAATTATCATGGTATTATTATTTTTGAATAAAAAAATGTACCTTCGTTCTGGAGAATCGTCAAAGTCGAATCTCATTTTGAATCTGGCCCCGACAGGTATGCGAGTGGTGGTACATTTGACATATTTTTGGTAGGGGACGACAAAATCAGAGTGCGTCGCTCTGCAAAACAAGTGCTCTAGAATAGGTCACTCACAACCTAGACTTCAAATTAATACTTTATATTATCTCCGAATAAGCACAAAATCAGCATAATAGCCATATATATATTATATATATAGATAGATAGATAGATACTTATAACATCATAATCATAACATTTATTTGTGTTTTCACTTCTGGTGAGTCTATTGTGTTTTCGTGTGTTCTTATTTTACGAGGGCAAATTCCTCCCTTTTCCCGCAATATTTCATAAATATCATAAATCATAAACCATAATCATCGCACTCCAGTAATATTCTCTGACAAAAAAAATTGAACATGTAAAACTTCTCCGAAACACTTCAACCGAAAAATTACCAAAAAAATCCAATCTTGGGCTCCGTAAATTCACAATAGGACACGAGTTAGAGAAGAAAAATTACGTCGACAAACATGATCGTTACTGTAATACAAGAATTTAATGGTCCAGTCAAGATTTTCCAGGAAGAAAAGAAAGAGGTGCAATAAAGTACCTTGGACTGTAGAAAACGGGAAATGTGCCATTGCTTGCTAAAGCATTTGCCAAAGGAGAAAGAACATTTTTGAAAGAAGTCTGATTTTTAATGATCGAATCAGGCAAACCATTTCTCGGTCGAGCAGCTCTCCTTATTCCCAACCGCAATTCTCCCGATTCTCCCCTGCAATATATAAACAATAACATTATATATATATATATATATATATATATATATATATATATAGGAGAATTGTTAGAAAATGAACACTAAAAAATACAGATATTGCAAAATAGAGGGTGTTCGGTTCTAATTGCACTCTCTTTCGAAAAATGAATTCAAGAATGAAGATTAATTCGGTAATTCAGTTTCCGGTCGATTTTATTTAGCTTTCTTTTTTTACTTTACAAAAAGAGGATATATACAATTCAAGAAAGTACCTCAGAAAGAGAACCGCATCACCCGATTGGAGATTCTTTTGGCTGACAAAAATACTCCATCCTGTAGTAAGCAAATGCCGCCTTGGCTGACCTGTTTGTTATTAAGGTTTAGAATCAACCGGTCGGAATTTTATAAACGACAACAAGTTAAAAATATAAACTCGTACCTCTGTAAATGTGTCTGAATTTCCAATCAACTTCATGGAGGTCTTTAGCAACGAGTTCCTGTGAGGGCCTTTGTTCTTTATAATCCTACACGGAAAAAATGTGGATTCGTGACAAACTTCAACGAAAACCGATGATCGAAGCTGTGGAAGATTAAACGGTGTCGAACCAGAGGTGGGAAGCAATCTTCAGCAGCTCTACGAGGAACAGAGAATCCACCGTGGGTGCTCGTATCGGAGGCGGTGAGGGTTTTGCAGAACATGTGGGAAGTCGACTTTGCTGGCTGAACCCTAGTTTCATCCTCGTCACCGCTCGTGTTTCCGCTCTCTTTGCCTTCTGATTTCGGCCCCACCATCTGCATATAAGTACTAGTAACATTATTATCAAGAAAACTCAAAATTTGATATTTTGAGAAATTTCTCTAAAAATCATCAATCCGAAAACTTCTCCAACACCGAAAGAAAAAACCCGGAAATCAAGAAATCAAGAATTTCAAATTCTTGCACTAATCAAAAACATAAAAATACTCAGAAAATTAAAAATTAAAAAATCCCAATTCATTAATTAAGACAGATAGTTTATAAAATTGCCAAATGGTGGTACCTCAGATAGAGGAAGCAAGTTCAGCTGAGTGTACACCTCATCATTTTCCTTGTTTGCCTGTTTCAAAACATTATTATTACACACTAAATATATTTAAAAAAAAAATCATTACAAAAACACACACTTACAAGAAGCTGAACATCAACAACCCTACAAAAGATTTGAGAGGGGAGATCAAAAGTGGGGATCTCCATGGGAGGAAAGGTCAAAGCAGAGGAAGAAGCTTGTTCCACGTGGCCTTGTGGGAAATACACAACCACATTCCCTTTCTTCGGAAAATTCGTGAGCGGCCCAGCACAAGCATGCCACAGCTCCATAAATATCGATGACGGCGGCGGCGGCGGCGGAGCATCAGATTTTTTTTTCGAACAAGGCGAAGATGACTCAGACGCAGCAGCAGCATTCGAAGAGCACGACGAAGTCGAAATCGACAAACACCCATAAACGCAACCGCCACCTCCCCCTTTGTCGCATTCCCCTCCATTCACACATGCTGCGACGCCGTTTCTCTCCACTCCTTCGTTCACCGCATGATTCAGATCAATAATTTCCATTAATTCCCCCAAATTAAAAATAAATAAATAAAACGAAAAAAAAAACTCTCCTTTTTCTTTTTTAATGATTAATGAAATAAAAATCAGTCGCTGTATTTTTTTCAAGATGGGATTTTTAATATCATCAAAAGAAGACAAATTCGTGGGCAGGAAAAAAGAAATTTACATATAAAGGTGGTGTCTTTAAACTTTAAAGCAAGAAGATGAGAGGGATTTTAACAAAGAAGATATAGCAGGAACAAAAAGTCATGGTTTTTTTTTTTTTTTTTAATTTTTCTGGAAAAAAGAAAACAGGTGATTATTAATCTAAAAGATGTGAAGAAAAAGAGAGGGCATCAAAAAAAAAAAAAAAAAAAAAAGGGTATGATTCGTCCTCCCCCATTCGCAGTTCTGTGAAGGGGGGAGCAGCAGCTGCAGCAGACATAGACAATTGCTTGGGCAAAGCACAGAAGCAAGCTAAAGTCTAAAGAAAAAAACCAAATGGGGTAGTGCCTCTTTTGGACTTAAGATTGTTTTTGTGTGTGCGTGTGTGTGTGTGTGTTTGTGTGTGAGAGATAAAGATTGTAGAGAGAGAAAGAGACTACAAAGAAACTGTGTTAAGTGGAGGGGACAAGTTAAGGCAGTACAGAACCCACAGCCAAACCTCATACCCCACTCCTCTTTTTCTTTTTTTTTTTAGCTTTTTATGATTTTTTTTTTTATGTATTAAAAGAAGATTAAAATAAAATAAAATAAAATAAAAATGTCATTTTGTTGATTTATTTTATTTTGTTTTATATTTTTAGTTTTATTTAGTTTCCATTGAATGCTAAACAAACTTGCAGGGAAGCCATTAATGGTGTGTGCCAGATCATATCTGGTAAAATGAATTAATTAATAGAAGAAATGTGTACCGAATTATTTTCACCATTGCACAATTAATTTTACATGCCATTTTTTGGTACTCAAAACTCTTATGTCTTGTCGGATAATTAAGTAAGTGACAATCGACTCGGGTCTACCTGAAGTTTGATGGCTTAGTCCGATTTTATTCGAATTTGAATCATTTTATTAAACTATGGCTCAAGCTAACACAAGGGCTTATAAATTTATCCAATCTTGATTAGTATAATTCGTTTGTTTACAATGAACATAATTATGTGACAAGATTAATCATGGCAATAAAAAAGTAATGGAGAAAAATATTAGAATATGTTTTTAAGTGATAATAAGCATGATCCATCCATTAAGATTAGCAAAAGTGGAGCTTCAATTATGCCATTGACCATGGAAATAGCATCTCTTTTTATTTATTTTTAGGACCTACCCACAAAAAGAATACGGGTAAAACTAAAAGGACCATCTTTTGTATTTGGATATTGGAAACACTCTCTTGTACCCATTCAAAATAATTCAATTCACAAATTATCATATTTTGTCCTCAAATGTTTGATGGAGTTCCGAGAGTTTGATGTTCGAATCGTTTTGTTGATATTTTTAAGGTGGCGCTCGTTGCGTACTGCAGGATTTATAGTTCTTAGTGTAGTATGTAAACTATTGTACGATGACTTTCAAGTGTGATTTGAGCTGACTACAGATGGTTTTCAGTGTAGTATGTAAATTATTATACGAGAGCAAAATTAGTGATGTTATTCCAAAGTAGATGGATCAACTAGATGACTTTCAAGTGTGATTCGAGCTGAAGTGAGTGATCGAGAGTATTATTAATTTTGCAAAAACTCAAATAACCACCCAAAATAGTATATACATATATATTGCCGAGTGATCAATACCTCATATCATATTTATAGATGGTACCGATTGTCCATCTCTTTTATAGAATCCATGTGGGGCAAGTGTAAGAGTATAATCTTGTAAAAATTCAATGTGAGAAAAAAGTGTAGAAATTATGCTCTAATCGGACTTTACTTATATAGGGTAGAAATTATGACATGATTTAAATGAAACACTGAAATCAATTAAGTGTATAATACAGTTGTTAAGTATACGTGGTAGATGTACGTATAGGTTAGAGAGAGAGAATCGTGAAATGTAATAGCTGGGCCCACCTAAGAGTTTGGCAGCAACTATCGTGGGAGTGCTGCTGTGCTAGTAGTTAGGGCTCAAATGCCTTTAAAGTTTGAACATACTCTCTCAAGTCATTATCATGCACCCTCACCACTTTCGTCTGCTCCGCGCGCTTGAGCCACACGCTCCGGTGAAATGCATTATTATTATTATAATTATTTAAATTTACACTTTTTTATTCTATATTTCCATTTATTTAATATTTTGAATCCCATAAAAACAAACCCCACGCATAAAAAGGCGCGTGAAAGAGGCAGTAAGATTTGCTTGCGCTGTTGGCGCTGCCAGCTAGGCCCGCCTCTTTCGATATTTCTCTTTCACTCTCTGCTATGTATGTACTCGTATAGTATAGTCGTGTATGTATACGCACATTGCATAGGAATTTACGGATAGCAATTCGCCTCCAAGTTGGCAACAATAACGAGAATGCCATTGAGCTCCCCCCACATTTTTCGGTCACGGCCATAGTTGACGGTGACTGGTCCAACTTTGAGTCATTTTCCGCAGCAGCACACGAGCAGCATTCCAAATACATGTGATTTTACCTCAATACCCTTGTCTTCATTTTGGACCGTATATTATTTTTTTCCATACCATTGAAAGGCCCATTGATTACACAAGTGGACTTGTGCAATTTGAATATCACAAGATACAACCCCCTTTTTTTTTTTTTTTTTTTTTCTTTTTACAATTTGAATGATTTATAGTTAGTAGAATACAATTAAGCTTAGTACAATTTGTACGATATTAACAATTCGTCGATGTATCAGGGAAACTTCAACTATTTTACGCTGCCGCGTTTCGAACACGTTTCGTGTCCGACACTCAAGGACAGTTGTCGAACACATTATGAATGCACGAGATATGATCACACAGGTTAATTTGATCAATCTTCAAAAAATAACACACCTGCATCGACTTTATTAAAGTCACAATCTTGTCACTATCGCTCTTTAATTCCTTACATATACGTATAAATATGACTGATATATATATATATATAAGAGAGAGAGAGAGAGAGAGGGCAAAAAGAAAAGAAAAGAGGGGCATTGGCAATGGCGTTGGAAAGTGAAAGATGATAAATTGATCTGATTTAATTAATTTCTCAAATAGAAAAAAAAGAAAAAGAAAAAACAGAGACCCCTCGAGAGTTATGCCGGCCAAAGTATACATAATGCGCACACACAGAAAAAATATATATATATATGATAAATAAATAAATGTATGTATGTGTGTATGAGTAGAGTACTGTATGATGATAAGCACAAGACACACACAGTATCACGTTCCACACTGAAGGATATAATTCACACAGTGCGTGTGTGTGTGTTTTATCTGCTTTAATCGAACCATGTTTGTCGGGGGGAAGAGAGAGAAAGAGAGGAGAGAGAGAGAGAGAGAGAGAGAGAGTGGTGGACCGCCCCCCGCGTTCATCGTACCCTATCTCTGTATATCATCCGTCTTTTTCCGTCCCACACCGGTCAATCTGAATTAATCCCCCACTCTTATCATATGGGTTTTTTGCAAAAACTACCCTGTGAAATCTCTAATTGCCGAAAACACTCCTATGTTAAAAAAATTAGCAAGGACCCCCCTACGAAAGTTAGTCAAAGCCAAAAAGGCCCCTGACAGGTTATCGTGCGCTACACTCGCCGTATGTGCGTCTGGGGGTGCGTTTTTTGACCTGAAATGACCTAAATATCCTTCATAGTAGAAGTCTTAAAAATTACAGACTTACCCTAGAATTTTAAGCACCAAATTGAAGTTTTCAAAATTTTCAATTCGGTCCTTCTTATTTTCAAAAAGGCCATCTTTCTAGACCCATTTTCTGATTTTTTTTCCTGTAAAAAACATCAATCGAATCCAGATTCTCAAGCTCAGTTTTGTTGCAAATCCAGAAAAATTAAAAGGTAAGAAGACAAGGGGAAGAGGACAGAGCTTAAGCCCCATTTTCCATGTAAAAAATTGGAAGAATTTTTTTTGATTTTGACCTTCAACTTCACCATTTTTGGTAACCCAAAACTTGAAATTCACCATTCTCGATAACCCAAAGTTCAATGGAGAAGAATGTGTTTCAAGTGGTGGTGGTGCGGCGGCGGATATGGTGGCGCGGCAGATGTGGTATGAGAAGTTGGGTGGGTTGGGTTGAGAGGTTGGGTGATGGGAAGAAGATATAGTCCATTTTTTTTTTCCTTTTTTTTTTTATTTTTTTATATTAATTTTTTATTTTCTTTTATTAAAATTAAAATATTATTAAAAACTAACTAGGGATATTAGAGTCATTTCACGTAAGTCAACAACTAATTTTAAAATAAGGGGCTCTGTGTTTTTTAAAATAAAACATAGGGGGGTTTTTGTTAATTTTTTTAACACAGGGCCTTTTTCAACAATTAGAAATAACACAGGGGGGTCTTTGCTATTAACTCCTTATCATATACATACTGTATCTCACTTTTTTAATTATATTATAATATTGCTCATTTAAGCTTCCTGCTGTTTAATAATATATTCTCAATTATTAAGCTTGGATACCGGAGGGACTGTACGGTCTGAAATTGTATAATTTTAGGGGGCAGATTTTGAATTTCTATGAATTATAGGGTAAGAAATGCAATAAAATAAAATTTGAGGTGGGCAGGATTTCACTGGCCTTGATTCATATCGGGACAATTTACTTGTGCAACAATTCGAGACAAGGCCCATCAAGGAAACAACATTTTCACAAACTCACAATTTCTCAAGGGAAAAATTAGCTATTTATTATATACTATAATAATAATTAGCTTTTCAAAGTAAAGACAACTACACTTAATTTTGTAATTTTACATAGAATAATAATCCAATTGGTTGCTTAATCGTAGGATAAAAAGTGGATATAAATAAAACATGAGAGTGATGATGGTAGTTGAACTCTTTTCAACTAGTACATTGTCTCTCCGACAATTTATATGGCAAGCAATCTCCATTAAACACTAGCTAATCTCACTATCTATCTTTTCCTTTACACTTTATTTGTTTTCGGGTTAATTAGATAACCAAACACCAAATTAGATACGAGGGTATCAAAATGTTGGATCTTAGACCCCACGAATTATTTAATCCAGCCCATTAACTCATTTCTCTCCTCAGCCAACCCAATAAAAAACCAGTTAAACAGTCGGTTAAAACTAGAGAATTCTCTAAATATTTAAATTAGACTGTTGATTCTTACCATTTGATCCAGTCCACTCATTCGAAGTACTTACCATTTTGTTCTGATCTAGGGTTCCGAGTTTTTGTGTTGCTTTATACTGAACTGTTGGAGCCATCGCCAGTGGTTTTCTGGACGAGAAACGTGATGTAAGAAATTGAGCCATAACATAAAGATGAGCTTCTCCATCCAATTAGAGTTTAGCAGTTCAGTTCATAGCTTCTCTGTTGGTTTGTTTCTTCAGTTCACTGTTTTTTGTTTCTTTTGTTCTTAGATAACCTGCAATTCCCTAATTCCATTCCAATAAATAAACTTTGTACTAGATTACGTATTATGTATTTCTTCTAACCATCTTCGAGTTCAAATTGATGCCTTACATCAACAAATAGATTTGTTTCCACACTTATATGTTAATCACTAATCAAAACTTAAAATATCAAAGGTGAGAGGTCTCAATCTTGAAGAATAGCAAACTAAATGTCTTTATCTCCATGCTCATTAATAATGGGACTGTAAATTAATTGGGCCACCTTATGAGTCTTGTCACAAGTTAATTCGACAAAAGTTTTAATACCTCATCAACCCGCTCATGATTTTTTTTTTTAAATTAATTATTAATAAATTATACAAAATATAATTAAAAATATTTCAAAATTAGAAACTAAACTTGCCCAAATAAAAAAAGAAAAGTCTGTTATGAATAATAATAACAATAACATATTAATATATACAGTTAAACCTCTATAAATTAATACAGTTGGGACCATCAAGATTTCATTAATTTAGCGAAATATTAACTTATCGATAAATTAATAATTATTAATTTATACATTAATTAATAACTTATTAATTTATGAAATTACTTTTATTATTATTTTCAATAAATACATTTTTTTTTTAATATTTTACGTGTATATTATTCATTGTACCATTCGTTCACTGCACTATAGAGCCCGTTTCACGAATGGAAGCTCTTAAAACAGTAATGGTATAGAACGATTTATGTTGAGTTATGAGAAAACTATACCGAAAGTTCTAACCATGTTAAGAAAAGTGAGGGACGAGATTGATGGTAATGTGAACTTCTACAAGAAACAAGCGATAATTAAATTATATTATATTAAGCCTTCACAGATCTATAAAATATGCACTATACTATGTAATTTAAGAAATTTGTTTATGCATTATTAGTTTATATATTATATGGGGCTTCTTAAAATTTTCGAATGTGTATTATCTTAAAAAAATTAGCAAATTATTAATTTAGCACGTTGTCCCTAAGTCGGGACCGAGAAAATTTATTATTTAAGCGAGGTTATTAATTTATCTGGTATTAATTTATCAAGGTTCTAGTGTATACTTTTATAATAAAACATACATAAATAAATAACCCGCTTAGGTATTCAAAAGCTCATGAACTGACTCGTGGGTTGCAGTCGAGACCGTGGACTCGGTTTGAGAGCAAGCTCGAATCGGGATCAGCTAAAACTTAGCTCATTTATGCATAAATTTTAACTATTTATAAAATATTAGATAGATATTTCGTTCAAAAGTGATGTTTTAATTAGTGGTTGCCAAAAGCCAACCACTAACTAATGGGCCAACAATTGTCGTTAAAACAATAATTAAGAGGTGGGACTCTCAACTTTTAACTTTCTTTTGTTGTCGAGCTCTAATTAGGGGACAATTTGTTGGGCCTTAATTTGTTATTTTCCACGTTGGCCTTATTAATTTTTAATGAGGAAAATAGCTAAACATGAGTCATGTCATTGTCCCATGTTTAATCTTTGTTCTAACACATCATGTTTGTTTGTCATTATCAATCTCTTAGACAATTCTTAATTCTACCTAAGTGGTGGGAGTGAGGGGTGCATATGCAATTTCATGAGTCTTGTTCTGTCTTTGGCTGATTGGATGTTCTTTTTATCACTAATTTTTGTGTTGTGATTTTTTTTTTTTTATTGTTTTTCAATAACGTTATTGATTGGAGGGTTATATTTGTTATCGGGATAAACTACGATCCCCCTGAGTTAAAGTTAAATTACGAAAAAGCCCTTATATTTGAGTAGTCGCCACTGCCCCTCAAGCCTCAACTATGAATCTTCTTACCTGTTTACTCTTACGGTGTCAAATTTAGTGAAATCTTCTGAATTATGTGAAATACTTGACAATCTTTTATCTCATATGTTGACGTATTTCCTCAAGACTCCTCGTGAGAAATCTGGGTTTGTTTTTCATTTTTGATGCTTCATATAGTTCAAAGTTCATATATAAAGACAAATCTCTAATGATCCATTAATATACAATCTCATAAATGCTGCATCTCTCTTATAACAAAATCATTCTGCTGATAGTGACTTTAAATATGTGTATATAAAAGTTAAAACACCAAAAAAGAAAAAGGATAAATATATACATATTAATCCGGGTATATATAAATCCAGTCCAATCAAATTGGGCTTATTGTCTTGCTATTGCACCAACACCTACGAGTATGAAGAAATAAGGTGTAAACGAGTTAACCTAACCATTTTGTGTATTTTTTATTATTTTTATTTTTTATTAATATTATTAGAAATTTATTATTATAAATTATAATAAAAAATTCAAAGAAATAAATTGACAAGATATTTTTTTTTTATTTATATTAATTATATTTTAATAATAAAAAAAACTCGTGAACCGGCTGACGAGCTCACGAACAAGTAAAAATGAGCTTGGACTCGACTTGTCAGAAAGCTCGAGCTCGAGCTCCTGTCCAGCCGGCTCGACTCGTTTTCACCCCTAGACCGCTTCTTACCCTTAAGAAAACTTTTGAATTCTGATTACATATATGTGGATCTTACATTAGTCTCAAGAAAAAAAAACAACTAGACTCAAGTAATATAACGTACTTGTTAATTATCAATTTCATACATATATTTCTACTTTTTAACTATAAAAAAATATAAACACACAATTGAATATAAATATATGATCAAGTATAATTATATATACGCCTATACGTTTTGATCTCGATGATGATCACTATCGTAGGGTACAATTTCGACATTTTCTTCGGTGATCTCGTGATCATCCCCAGATGAGGCAAACTCTGTGACTGTGAGAGAGGGTACTGCTCGTCTGTGGGAAGGTATACCCGGGGAAGCAGCCCTGGAGTTAATCTGCACCGTCGACGATGAAGAATCGTCTTCAACGGTAATAGATTGTTGCGAGTACGGAGATGGAGACGACACTTTCTTTCTCTTGTGCTTCACCTTTGCATGCCACTGTTTTATTGTGTCCAGTGTTTGTTCTTCTAATATTGCGCTCTTGTATTGAGACCCCATCTATGTATAACATTTAAATAATTTATATTGGAAAAATGTAATAAATTCCGAAAAGTAATTTAATTTCCCAAATGTAAAAAATGTTAATCACTGAATTTAAATAATAAAAAATAGATAAATTAAAGAAATAAAAAAACCTGAGTGACAAGAGCATATAGGGGAAGAGTGATATAACTGCAGAGGACTTGAACCATCACCCTGCAAACATTTACATTTTAATTAATAAATATATTTCTTTTAATTATTTATCTTTGTGTATTTGTTGTAATAGTTATTAATAAATACAAATAATTTTTTTTAAACAAAATTGAATTTTAATAAAAATGATATATACTCACGCTAGTACCACCCTGATAACGATGATCTCTACGTTTTCGTGGTAGCAGGATCTGATTCCAAATTGCCACTGTAAATTAAATATCAATTTAAAAAAAAAATTAAGTTAATCTACATCCATATATATATATATGTATATATGAAATGATGAAATTAAATTAGAGGGAGATATGTATGTATATATGATGATGGTTAAGGGAAAATGTACGTACCGTGACCCATATGAAGAACGAGAACTCAAACGCGTTCTGCCGTAACAATATTCGACGAGTCAAATTCTTTAAACACTTTTAAAAATTATGTTTCGAGTATTTTGTGGCGTAAGAAACGAGTAAAATAAATCGAGACGTACCATAAACAAAGTGAAGTGGAGAAGGTTGAGGACGAGTTGGGGTCGTTCGAACCAGAAGAAGTTATTGTTGGGTTGTACCAAAGGTGCTCCTTTTATTACAGTGTTCTGATTTGTTAGCTGCATTGCCATTCTCGCTACTATTGCTTCCAATTTCGTCCCGACGAACAGAACGATCTACAAATTAATTAAATCCATATTGTTTATTTATTATTATGAAACAAAATAGACAAACAATACTAATTAATCAAATAATTCGTCATATGCATATGAACTTACAATTAGCGGCAGAAACGAAACCCAAAGATACACATTCCAACCTATATATGATGAAATCGTAGAATTTCAGCACTTGGCGGTTAATTAAAATCATCGTGAAAATGTTCGGGAAGTTAAATGAACACACACACACACACACATATATGTATATATATTTTATGTATATATTATTACTTACCATGTACATCAACCAGCAGAAATACAACAACCAGTAACCACATCGGTGGGCTGTCGATGAAAATTTCGGAAGAAAAATAAATTGTGTTGGATTTATATATATTATTGTCAATTTGAAATTAATATATTTATGCGATAGGAAAAATCGAGTTGTGCAATATGGTGTGTGTTCGTATACCTTATGCCGACGACAGATTTGAAATCATCTTCGAGAGATCGTTGTATGTACTTTTGGAAATTGAATGAATTATTGGTTGATAAATGAGCCTATGGGATAAAATTAAGTGTCGAAATCACGTTTCGCCTAATTATGTACTTCAAATGATTATAAGTAGTAATTAATAATGATAATGGACAACGCGGATGAATTATGAATTTATATATGTATAAATAAATACATACTGAAATAAATCCATGGCGTAGAGTGAAGTAGTCGATTTTGGCCACCGAGTTGAAGAATTGCCTGAAAAAACATTTCTATAGACCGAATTCAGTCGCAAATCGTCAATTATATATATATATATATATATATATATATATATATATATATATATATAAACGGATAATAAATAACAAAATAAACACTGATTTTTTTCAGCGAAAATAATACGCACGTACAATCCACAGGTAAGCAGGAATTGCAGTGAAAGTGCTCAAATGTCGCCTCCCGAACGTCGTTTGCCTTGTATATCGAAATCTTTCGGGATCTGTGCACGTTTTTTTCATGCATCAATAATAATTAACATCATCTCAATTTTTTTCTTCTTTTTTTTTGGTATACAACTTAATAAAAAGCGAAATAGACGACGTAGTATAGTACCATTTGCTACCATATATTCTGTAGTTTGCGTCTCCTTCTCCCAAATTTTCCATCTCCTCATCTGCAAATATATTACAAGTGTAGTCCAAGATTTTTGCAATAAATTTCAAATAAATATAACTAAAAAACCTTTAATTAATGAATTAATATTGTAGAAATAAAATGATAAAGTAGTTGTACCTTGGCCCTTCCTAAACCCATAGTAGCCAGACTGTAGACAATCTGTATGGCTGCCATCACAAATATGAAAATGTTGAGCTGATTTATTCCCTCTTCTGACATCATTGAACTCATTCCCTATCCAAAATGTAATTAATCATATTATTAGTTTTCCTCATTAATTCAAAATACACCAATGTTTGCACAAAAAAGGGCCTAGGAAACCGAAATTGAAACCCGAAACCCGAAAACCTGAAACCCTATCTAAAATTTTGCATTGATCCCATACCCATTATTTTCGGGGCGGGTCAAATTGCCATCCTACCTAGAAGTATGAAAATATTGTCCTAGGGCCAAAATTACTCATCCTAACTTTATTAAGCGCAACGCGGGGAACCAAATTACGAGCATGAATCCGTTACGTTATGGTATTTCAGTGGCTCTAAGCAAATTTTAGAATCAACGAACCTTAGAGGCACAATGATCGAGAGAATTCGATGCTGAGTCATCGGCAAGTGATCTTTGATGATGATGAGATAAATCAACGGCCTTGAATTGATGTGCGGGATTGCGGGTGAATGAGGTCCGTAGATGCTCTACGATACTCTTGGTAACTTGTTGGTTTCGGCATGGCAGCATCGAATTTGCGACCTTATTCGATATGCATATTTTCGACAACCATCTTTGTGTCACTGTTAGTATCAGTGACATGAATCCCAATTGCATCAACACTGCACCAAAACACACACACACACACACACACATTTAAATAAAATATATATAATTTTTTTTAATTTCCTACAAAAAATAAATAAATAATTAAAATAATTATGGGTAAATGGGTTTTCGAATTTTTTATTACAACACCTGATTTCAGCTTCTCTGTCGCTTCATACATAGCAGCCTTCTTATGTTTCTTGAGCCACTACACGACAAAAACATACACACACACACACACACACACGCTTTCAGTTCAATGTGTGGAAGAAATGCACTACTGTGCGGTTCGGTACAATTAGACCGTTAGCCGCTGAAAGAAAATTAAACTATGTAACTAATATATAAAAGTGCGCTTACGTGGCCGGCAAGATGAATAAGGTGTTCGATAAAAATGCCAAGGAAGATGAACACAAAACACACTGTTGCAACAGCCCAAGTGGGGGTATGTAGCAGAGACCGGCTTATACCACCTGCGGCGGCGGCGGCGCCGCCGTCTCCTCCTTCTCCGGCCGCCATGCTTTCCAAATTTTTCTTGGAGCTGAAAATTGAAAAATAAGGAGTGGGAGTGGGTACGATCAATAAAGTTCAAGTAGGAGAGTAATTTTTTTTTTTTTTTTGTTTGGGTTCAAAATTAAATGTTGAAAGAAAGAGTGGGACCCACAAGTAGGTGACATAAAATAGAGAGTATTAAATTATTGCAAAATTAGAAAGTCCTCAAAAATTAATGTGATGGGAGGAAGAAATCCAAGTCGGTGTATAGTGAAGGTCGTGTCTACATGTTTTGACTTGGCCTCTCTTCGTTCTGTTTTAATCGTCGTTTTTCAGTTTTACACAGAGAGTTAAAGATTTTATTAAGTATGTCTTGATTTAGGCTAACGCGACATTGAATTATAATTAATAACAGCAGAGACGAGTTAAAGAAAAAATAGTGTTGAAAATAATTAATAAAGATATAAATTAAGTAGAAATCAAGAAATTAATAGAATATTGAAAATTTAAAGTGATAAATAATATTGAATAAATTTACAGATACTACAAATAAAGGGAGCAAGTGTAACAATAAATTGCGTCAATTCTAACATTTAAGTAAGAACATGGCTATCAAATTCTTACCTATCGTTGTTGCAATTAGTGTGCATGTAGTATAATTAATTAATTAATTCCAATTACTCGAATTCATCCAACGGTCAATTGTTGGTAGAACGTATCGTTTATCTTATGATATAGTCGGATGAATTATATATATAATTTTGTTAAATGCAAAACTTTTTTATGTCTTTTCGATACGATAGCTATAGACTATAGTTGCTTATAAAATTTAAAATAAAAATAATAGATAAATAAATAAAGATTTTTTTCTTTTTGTTTGGTCTGGTCAATTGGTCAAAAGCTTTATTATTATATTGCCATTTAAAAAGCGGTTAAAGATATGAAAACGAAAAGACCTGCCCCAGATACTTGGTTTAGGTTGTATCGTAGAGGTCAAGTTGAAATATATTTTTCAAGTGAAATTTAAAAAATAAAATCCAATTAAATAAATTAATAAATGTATAGAAGTCTATTTATTGTAGAGGGCAATGGTTGATGTCAAAATCTACATTCTAACTTAAGTTATGAACTCATTATTAAATTGTTGAATTTTTTTCTTTTTTAATTTGCCCTTTTTAGTTATAAGATGAGGGACAAGTGTACACACACATTATTGAACCAAAAATGTATGATATAAATTCAATCGACGCCAGTATTTTTGGTTATGTTTTCGTTTCAATTTTATTCTTTTCCCGAAACGAAAAAGAATTATGTGATTTTAAATTGACTCTGCACCAACTATGATTGAATTGATCATACTTTTGAAACAAAAAGGTGTGTGCACTACTGGAGCTTGGTCATCTGGTGTGGGTGGTCTATTATTTATATTTTCAACTTTAAAATTGTCTAGTAATTTACATTGTTATTATATCTATGATTAGGACATTTGGAAGATTTAATATTAATTTAATCCAAAAAAAAAAAATAATAAAAGAAAAATAGGTGGGGGTGTTTGGGGTGGGGGTAATTTAAGATGTTACATATTGTGGCAAATTGTGGTGTCAAGTTGCAATGTTGTAACTTAGAGGGTGTTTGGGTAAGCTTATTTTAAACAGTTG